TTGAATGAAAATTTGGGGCAGCGAAACACTATAGACCAAATGTGCTAGATGACCATCGAGGATACAGGCTGTCCAATCACTTTTGATTGATACTGTACTATGTAATGTCGCTGAAACTGAAGTCTCTTATATACGCTCGTATCTAATACTAATTACTTATTTAAAAAATAATCATCAGGTATACTTTTCGAAAAGATGAATAACTTTGTGAATTGTTTTTAATGTGCGTGAAACGTATCTTAAATGATGCGCTTCGCTCCTAAAAATCTTTTGACGATACATATAACAGGGTAATGAAATAACGTCGGTAAATACAATAATGAAGTGCATCGCTCCTAAAAATCTTTCCTTCTGACGATACATATAACAGGTTAATGAAATAACGTCGGTAAATACAATAATTAAGTTAGAAAGATGGCAGTCGTTTAGGGTTATTTTCTGTGCAGTCTGCCAGAAATTGACATTCCAAAGATGAATCGCCCTGTCGTTTAGGATTTTTTTTTGTGCAGTCTACCAGAAAATTGACATTCCAAAGATGAATCGCCCTGATGATGGATTCAGTACGCGGCTCCGAAACGTAGTTCGATTTCTACCAGATTACACAGCGCAGCATCCCAGAATAGTTATCTTCACATTCGTGGTACCCTGAAATCTCGCCAAGAATCAGGCTACTCTACATTTGATCAGAAATTATTACGCGTGAGTGCCACTATTTCGATGCCTAGATCTTGTCTCTCTCTCTCAGGGGAGTGGAATTTCGTTTTGTTTGGAGACTCAAGAGATGGGGAACATGCCAATTAAACCAGCGACAAGATGTGACTCCTCTTGAGGTTGAATCTGATCGCATGAGGAAACAAATTGGACCGGTTAGACACCCAATGAAGCAACAGACTTCCCACAGCCTGCTAATTGAAAACTATTCATTACGAAACCTGACCTTACCTTCCGGGGCACCGGTGGTTGCTCTGAGAGGGGGTGAAGATCCTTCTGCTCTCCGTGGATGGTGATAAAGTGTCTTCGTCTTCTTGGCCGATAGGGAGCGGCTCTATTAATCAACAAACGAAGCCCTAGTGAGGTCGTAAAGAATGGCCAGCCATACCGCAGGTGCCAAGGCTCGCTGTATTCGTCACGAAGCCAACAGAAATCTTACGGCTCTCTTCGGGTCGTGACGTAATTACTTGACACAAATACAAAACTACAAAATTTATAACGAGAAGTTAAGAATCTGGTAGCCTCAGTTCGGAGTCTACAGACGATGTACTTGCATTTCGTTTAAGTATATGCTCTGTTAACTGACGACCTGCGAACAACAGTGGGTTAACTATCATTGATATGAAGTTAAAGACGGTTGCTTTAGAAGATATCTTCAAACTCATCGTCGTGAAAATCTCCGACGTGGTTGCTTTAGATTCACATTTTAAAATTTCGAAAATTATTCGTATTTGCGTATTTGAATTTCTACATAATCTAACACCAAATACGTCAGTTTTAATAACTGATTTCAGATTTCCAAATAGAATTTTTCGTGATATTTTGAGGTACAATTACATGTGATTTTTATGGTGTTCCTAAGATTAATAAAACTATTTTAACTTAAACATTTGCGGTCCAGTACTCTCAAGAATGCCATCACAATATAAATAGTATTTTATCTAACTTTATATATATTAGAACTGATATATGGCAGAATTATAACCATAAATAAAATTACGAAAAATGCATAGGCACTGTAGACCCAATTGTGAATACCATTAAAAGGAACGTATATCATAGGTCAGACTTCAAAAATTTGAAGTTTAGAGCACAGACTTTCACCGTTACAAATTACTTAGCGTGTTGAGCGTTCGCTCTTATCCGCGGTCAAATTAATTTAAGAGCAGAGGCCAGAGAGGAGGGTTCTAGCGGCCTCTGTATCTGGGTACAGTAAGCTCAACATTAAAGTGGCTACTGCTGGTCTCTGGACGCTAGGTCCGATGCCTTTCCACAGCCACTGCAGTCAAATGATAAGGTATTTCTTCGAAACAGAACCGTTCCCTTGAACATCCTTCATAATTCAGTGTTCAAAGTAATTCTCATACGACGCTACATAACCTATAAACTTGAGAAGATGTTGAAGAAACACAAATATAACAATATGAACCGGTGGACGAGTAAAAAGCTGTTAGCTGTAGTGTTCCAGGGTCCTTTGGATGGGGTATCCAGTCCATTGCAAAGATTCTGACACCAGAATAGAATGGAAGAATACTACAAGATTTTTCCGACATGAATGAAATGTCGCATTCATCGCAAACTAAAATCCATGTCCTACGTAATGAAAATTAACTTTAGAATTACGTGGAAAAATAGAGTTTCTGTCCGTTTTCAAGTGAACACCCGATATAGTCTTTGAATTAAAGAAATGCAGTTTCAGTTACTGACAACCTCCGATAAAGACATCAGTCACCGAGAACCGCGAAAATAAAACGTTCCAAACCCCTCATTTAGGGGATCGGCATGTGTCAAGTCCTGCAATGATACAAAATTAAGGATTAATCAGTCGACGCTGACCCGTAATTATTACAAAAATACTGTTCTTACTACACTTTCGCGTAATTTGCAGAGACAAATTACTTTCAATTTGTACTACACCCGGGGCTTCATATTCTGCATTTCAAACTTAAGTATGATTCAGTACATCAGTGACAAAGTTTTTTTTTAAAAAAAAAATTCAACCTTTAGAAGAAACGTTTTTCATGTAAGAGTTGAGGTTATCACAGCGGTGAGTATGAAGATTTCTGTCTTCTGGGTTGTTGTGCTGTGTAGTCTCGTAGATGTTTATCGACGTTTCAGAGGGCATACTGCCTCCGTCATCAGAGTATAAAGATTTCTGTCTTCTGGGTTGTTGTGCTGTGTAGTCTCGTAGATGTTTATCGACGTTTCAGAGGGCATACTGCCTCCGTCATCAGAGTATAAAGATTTCTGTCTTCTGGGTTGTTGTGCTGTGTAGTCTCGTAGATGTTTATCGACGTTTCAGAGGGCATACTGCCTCCGTCATCAGAGTATAAAGATTTCTGTCTTCTGGGTTGTTGTGCTGTGTAGTCTCGTAGATGTTTATCGACGTTTCAGAGGGCATACTGCCTCCGTCATCAGAGTATAAAGATTTCTGTCTTCTGGGTTGTTGTGCTGTGTAGTCTCGTAGATGTTTATCGACGTTTCAGAGGGCATACTGCCTCCGTCATCAGAGTATAAAGATTTCTGTCTTCTGGGTTGTTGTGCTGTGTAGTCTCGTAGATGTTTATCGACGTTTCAGAGGGCATACTGCCTCCGTCATCAGAGTATAAAGATTTCTGTCTTCTGGGTTGTTGTGCTGTGTAGTCTCGTAGATGTTTATCGACGTTTCAGAGGGCATACTGCCTCCGTCATCAGAGTATAAAGATTTCTGTCTTCTGGGTTGTTGTGCTGTGTAGTCTCGTAGATGTTTATCGACGTTTCAGAGGGCATACTGCCTCCGTCATCAGAGTATAAAGATTTCTGTCTTCTGGGTTGTTGTGCTGTGTAGTCTCGTAGATGTTTATCGACGTTTCAGAGGTCATACTGCCTCCATCATCAGGGTGAAACAACCCAGAAGACAGAAATCTTCAAATATTTGGCTATTTTTCGCACTCTCGTGTCAGAAATGAACGCTGGCGAATAAGGGTGCAAATATTAAGGGATGAACTGAACCGTGTAATGTTTATTCCAACAGGGAAAATCGATGAAAGGATGACAGCGGGCAGTTACAATGGAAGTCGAGGCGTGGAGCAGCTTCGTTACGGGCATCAAGGTCAGAAAATGAAACGACTAGAATTCATCTCATGACTGCGGTATTTTCATATTTGATGGCAAATTACGACGCCTCAGAGGCAAATATTTCTTACAATGTTTGCATGGAATATACAACCTCACAGGGCTATCAAGTACATTATTCAAAGCCATATAATCAAAGTAGATTTCAGATATCAAAGTGGAAAGGCGAACGTCGCCGAGGAAAAATTGATTATTGTCAAAGGGTTGCATTTAAGTATCGTCGACACACCGTCTTAAGTACACTTTCAGATAAACAAGAGACAATCGCTCTGTTGGCGTGATAATTCGATTTCTACTATCGGACTGTGCACAGAGTATCGACAGCTCCCTGTCACGTTTGGATGTTATCGTAGAGACGCCATTCATTAAACATCATTTATCTGTCTTAATGAAATAAATACGAGGACAGTAACCGTTACTGACGTATTTGTGCAACATCCGATGAAAAATTCTTTATGAGTACTACGAAAACTGAATCACCTTTCAGAGCAAAGTGTTTTACGACTTGTGTGGATTTAAATCCACGGTAAGACTTAACCAAGCTTCCCGTCCATATCCGACTAGTGTTTAATCCTTTCACTGCTTAAGTTAACTTAATCTGATTAAAGATGAGAGATTTTAGGTTTCCACGACGGTAAAAATAGCGATATTATTGTTCTGGGTTGTAACTCCGCGTAGACTTCTAGACGCATTAACGACGTGATGTTAATTGGATAAGCTTTATGCGTATTACAATGCAGTAATGTACGATTACGTATGAATGTATTTATAATACAGGTCATATTTAGTCTAAATTAGTCAATATATGATTATAATACTTCGAGTTTCCTTCAATTTAATTAATTTTAATTCTTTACTGTAAACCCCACAACGTAGACGTATTAAATACGGTAAAGAGGAAATTAAAAGACGAAAATAGCAGTGAAAGTTGACAGCCAATGCCAATGGTCAAACTACCAGAAGCTTAATTATGCTTGACAAATAATAATATCGATAATTACTGTCAACGGGACATGAACAGAATACCAGTCTTCTGTAGGCATCAGATGCCAGGTCCATGTTAAGACGTTTAACATTTTAGACGAAATGTGCGTCAGGAGACGAGAAAACAGTTTTGAAGAACTCGTAGTTCCTTCGTTCTGACTTTCCCAAAAATAAATCTAACCCCGCAAAATTTTTCTACGTGTCTTTTAGGTATCAGGATTAAACAACTGTGACGAGACGCGACACTAAAGTTAACGCAAGTAAATTTAGACTTTACTTCTATTATGACACGATTAAAAATCCTGATTTTAAAACTAGACATTATCTTCAAAAAACCAAAGCCTTAAAAAATCCACTTAGATACAGCAAAGTGACGTAAACATCTGTATTTCGTGCTCCCAGCGTAGCACAACTTTCGTGATAAATGTATCTTTCTCGAGTCGCGTTATGGTCCTGCCATGTTCCACAACTATTTTTAAAGAACTTCCTTTCATTATCCACGTATTTTTATCCGAACCTCTGTAATTATAAATTACTTCGACTCCGGGAAGGTAATCAAGTCCACGTCATGTTTCGAAACGTCTGTTGTTTTCCGATTGGCCGTATTGTTTCACACAAATAACTCTGCTAAAAATATTTTTTGCGATAGTTTAGTTAACAAAATTACCGCAGACGACCGGTATTAGATCCCTTGCGGGCGACGCAAATTTTCCACTACGCCTATAAATGCACCGAGGATAACCCAGAGCTCAATCCGGGGGCAAAACATCTGGAGCGTGAAGCTAGTCACTCACTTTCATCTACTGCCTCAGTTCGTAGCTCAGCACGAAAACAACTTTAAAATTATAGGAATATTATAATTTATTTGTAGGGCGCGTGTAAATATGACGAGTACTTTCCACAGAATTTAGTTTATTTAAGAAAATTTGTCAACTATCAACATTTTTGCATGCCTAAATGGTTCCAAAAGAATTCTTTGCGTGAATATAATTTTGGCGTCTGTAAGAAAAGTTTTGGTGCCTGACGCAAGACAAACAACTTCATTACAAGTTCGTAGCGGAATTCAAAACCTCAATCCAAACTTTCGAACAGCGTTACAACTAGCAGCGGCGTGGCTTCCAAAAACAATCCTCATCGCTGTCTCGAAACATCACTGGCCTACGTGTCTGACATGAGCGTTACCAGTTGCCGCTAGACCACCATAACGAGATATTATGGTATCTATTCTGACCACTAAAAGCTTGCGAATGAACGTTTCGACAGTTGGAGTTCAAATAAACAGATAATAACATTTCGTTCTTGAACCCGAGCTAAGGATTTCTACGTCACACGCTACGACGCTAACGTTACATTCACGTTTAAGCAATTTCCCTCAAGCCCCTTCTGGTATTTCTGAGTCTTCTGGTTCGTAACTGAAAACGCGCACATCAATAACTAACCCGTGCTACTGGAGACAGCGAATATTACACCAGGTTCTCGCGAACTTCTGCTGTCCTGTAGACCTCAGAGTGGTGGACGGAGACACAACAAAAGATCAGAACTACTCCCAACACCTTCAAGGCCCGAAATCAGTTTCTTGGACACCCAAGCAACGTACCGTCGATGAAATCGCCCCCTTCTAGTTTACACAGGTCACTCTCCAAGAAAGGAACAGTCAGAAGTCAATGTCTTCCTGGCAGAGGCGACTCAGTAAGATCTCTGTGTAGACTGCGTTGATGGGACCTTCAACGTGGTAGCCACGTTGCATATCCTGGCGTTTTTCCAGCTGAAATATAACATCATTTCATAAACCACTCGAGACTCAGATAAACTGACGAGGAACTTCACGAAACTTCCGAATTGCGTTCTGTCCTATAAAATACTCCGCAATACGAGGTGCGATCGGAAAGTTTCAAGACTGTGTCAATAGAGGGCGAACCGGATGTAGTACGAGCTTCTGCCGCTAGGGGGTGCGGCCTACATTCATAGTGAATCAGTGTGCCAGCCGGCATCATCGAATTAGCATTTGTTTCTTAGTTACGGGCGTTTTGGTCGTGCATTACACCGACCATCCTGCGATTTCGGAATGGCGTGTGCATCAAATTTTGCCAAAGACTCGCCAAGACGGCTACGGAAACCTATGAAATGCTAAAGCAAGCATTTGGGGGGTCCGCAATGGGTCGTGCACAAACTTTTGTGTGGCATTCACGTTTTAAAAATGGCCGAACCTCTGTCGATGATGACGAGCGTTCTGGACGACCATCTTCGAGCACAACGCCCGAAAATGTTACGAAGATTCGGCAGGCCATTCACGAAGATCGACGTCGTACCATAAACGACTTGTGCGACATTGTTGGGATAGACTATGGGAGAAGCAGAATCGACTTCTCGTTTGTTAGGAGCTCAAAGATCTTGCAAGAACCGACCCCAACTTCCTTTCTAAGGTTTCCTCTTCTCAAAGATGAAAATTCAGCTAAAGGGAAGGAGCTTTGAGACGATAGAAGAGATTCAGGCAGAATCGCAGATGGTGCTTGACAGGCTGACAAAGAAAGATTTCCAGGGATGCTTCCAGGCTTGGCAGCGGCGCTGGGATCGTTGTGTTCACTCCCAGGGGAACTACTTCGAGGGTGATGGATGAATTTAATACCTGAGATAAGTGTACGGGTTTTATACGCGCAGTCTTGAAACTTTCCGATCGCACCTCGTATTTTCAGTCAAGATAATACTTTACTCCACGCTTATTTAATGCAGTCTTGGCTTTCTTATTTTAAGCTTTAGGAGTTACTAAATATGCATTATGAACGCCATCCTTCACCGTTTCTGCGAAAGGGAGGATCCCCTAACGAAAACCCCAAGCGGACGCTCAGAATGACGATATTAATGTCACTGCAATCTGCGACTCGACGTCCTCACTCCACCTCTCAGCACTTTGACTTGCATGAAGCAACCCGCCTGACGTGGAACGAAGCAAAAGGCGGAAGGAACAGCACGGAGGGCGGAGGAACGTCTCTCGACATCGAATTTCCAATATCGCAAACCGATCTACTTCATAATCTCAAGAATTCTTTCGGAAAGTTTGAAAGTGTAATCTGAATAATGCGTTGTTATTCTGTGTGTGGCGTCTTTAAATTTCTTCGACTGCGACTAGTTTCGATAAAGTTTTCTTCAGGAAGGGGAATGGAATCTGCCGTATTCTCCGGTACGAAGTGCGAACTCGACACAGCTGATCCGAAGACCCACCACTTCATGGAATTGAATCCATTTTACGTAATCAAAAATTTATTTTTCTGCAATCGGAGTGGAAGTTAAACAGCAATTTGTCTCAACACGACCTTTTTAAACGCGTCTCCCCAGGAGACAAAGACCAGTACGATTTGAGATTCTCACGGCGTTCTGGGATGCGACGACGCGTAGATTCGGAGGTAAATACCAGTGTTTCGGAGAAACTTTCCGTCTCAATTTTAATCCCTTCATAGATGAACAGCAATGTTTCGTAGAACCACAAAGTCTCTATGTTCAGAGCTGAAACGTTTGTTACGTACCTACGAGTCTACACGCGTAACAACCCGGAAGAACAATGTCGTTACGAAATTTTGCCATCATTTTCCCTTTATTCTAAACCCTTATTTGTCTCGTCTTACCTTATGGAAGTGGCAAGCACATTTCCCTTGCAAGAAATCCTTGTAGCGTGCTGCCGTCATGTTAAAAGTGTCGACTACGTCCATGCGGTGGTGTTTGGCAAAAGCAGCCAGACCCATCGAATGCTTTAAAAGCCTGTTCTGTTGAGTCTGCAAGTAAATCCGGTGTTTTCCAAATTTTATTTAGCAATAAATAATTACGACCGCGTTCTAAAATGCTTTAATGACTGATCAAACTTATTTGACTGACGTATTTACGTAATACAATGCTTACTCTGGAAAGGTAATGCACTCCTTCAGCTGGGATATGAAAGCCAGAACCAAGGGTCTTTACCACAAGGTGGGCCTGTTGTAGACCTTCCCTGAAACCAAAGCAGAAACTTCTATTTGCTCTCTAAACACGTAAGGAGGGAGGAAAGTTAGTAAATTAAACAAATAAGTCGATAAATTTTAAAAAAAAAACAGTTAAACCACACTGGTAATCCGGGATCTCAGGTTCGAATTCAATCCGGGACATAGTATAGTGTTATTCTATCTTGAAGGTAGAGGATTCGCAGGTTAGTCACAAAATTTTCTGAAAAGGATTCTGAAAATATTTTAAAGTAGGGCTGTCAGAGTGAGGTTATGTTACCTTTTGAGCACGCGGAGTAGAGTGTGTAGATGTTGGGTGGCTAACCAATGAACGCCACCTACGATTAGGATCGTGTTTCTTGCGTTCTGCAGAGGCTGAGACCTGGAACGACGACGTCAGACAATTACCTTCGAGTAAAGCGACGCACAGCAACGAAAGTGATTTTGTAACCACGACAAAATGGTGGAAATAAACATTAAAATGGCCGGCAGAAGAATGTATATGGACTAATTCATCTTTGAAGAATTATAAGGGAATGGATATCACGAGGGTCAAGGTACGAAACAGCCAAAGAAATTACTAGAGAGAGAGAGAAATGGCGTATTTAAAAAGATTAATTAATGTAATCTGATAAAAATGTACGCTAGCATAATGTATGAAAATTGTATTTGAATTATTTATCGTTTTGAAGCTTTATATAATTATATACACCTGAGGATGGTTCTTTTAGGAATTGAAAACATGTCGTGAAACATGAAAAATGATGGTCTAATGTAAATCGAATATTTCGATAAAGAACATCATTTAATATTTTAAATGTTAATTATTGTGATTAGACGGACAAAATTTAATATAAATTTAATCTTACTGAAATTTATTTCACAGTTCGTTGAACGTTAAATGAGCCACGGCGGACTATCGGGTTTCAAGTGCAAGGATGAACGAAACCAACCAATTACTTGTGAAATAACCTGTATATTAAAAATTAATTATTAAATATTTTGTCGCCGATTACTTTACGATAGACATTAATACACTAGACATATAGGCCTACGTGAGTGTTTCGAAACAAACCACAATTACCTACATTTGCCTGAAACTATCTTTCTAGAGCGCCAATCCAAAAATTTCATCCGTATCGTTTTAATACTTTCCGGAAACAAAAATATTTAATTTAATATTACATGACTGAGCTAAGACGTGAACCAAGAATGTTAATCGCGGTCCTATTCGATGTTTTATGTAGCCTGACTTAAGTTCTCATTTCCCAGCTGAGTTCAAAATTAATTTTAAATAGCTACTGTACCACTGTTTTACCTTCCAATCAGATATAGCGGTTATTTGTTTAAACGAAAATCAAATTCGTGTGTGTTCGTGGGAAAAACAGGGGTATGAACTATATATCTCTTCAACTTAAGCTTGGAATTTGTAAAAACAGACGGTTATAAGTTCCCCTAACACGCGATGTCCTCCGAACAGTCGCCCTTGTTTTAAGCGGCCCTCAGAAGGCACCGCGTCGAACACGCCTGACGTAAGCCTTCTGTCACGTGACCTTTCTCTCGAGAACTGAGCGCTGCTGTAGTTGGTGTTTCCCCGCAACACACAGAGACACCGTTTACTTGCTACAGGTCTCGGTGGCCGAGGATTTGGAGCAGAAACATGGAGTTTGCAGAACAATGAGTGATGCGATTATGGACCAACTGAAGCGTCTCCTTGCTGACTGGAGTGATAACCAGGTAGGCAGGCTACCAGCCACATTGAAGTATATTTTACAAGAGTTATCATTTGACGTAGACTGAATAAAATCATACGCAACTATTATTCAAATTAATTACAAGCTTCTAACATTTAAAGGTAAGCTGCCTCTCTCTCTCTAGACACGAATACTTAATTTATATATTCGTAAAAATTCGATTACAGTTGACGTGATGTTTAAAGGCAAAATAATGTGTAAATACGCTGTTTTCTGCACCAAAGTAACTTTTTGAACACTCTGAGGTGTTTATATTTCCTAAATATAATAATAGCTATTTCGATAAAAATAATTACTGTGCCTCCGCGTAAGCTTGGTTGTGGTGACCGATGATAATTACGGCTGGTGACGCACAGAGAGACAGGAACTTCGCCATTTCCCTCGCTTATAAATTCTTTCATACATCAGTGCTTATGTATATAGCACTCTTCAGAAGGCCGTTCATACACGTAAGAATTGAGGTTATCACAGCGGTGAGTATGAAGATCTCTTGTCTTCTCGGTTGTTGCGCTGTGTAGTCTGGTAGAAGTTCACCAATGATTCAGAAGGCGTAGTACTCGAGGACTTTTGAACATTGGTAAACGTCTACCAGAGTACACGGGGCTTCAACCCAGAAGACAGATATCTTCAAGTTGAAAAGACTGTCACACGAAGGGGGGCTCGAATTTATGTGACAGGATTAATTAAACCCCTCTGTAATCTGTCATCCCTTCCAGAATTTCACGGTCAAAAGGGGGGAGGACTGGGGTTGAACTTGGAAAAAGTTATGAGGCGATTATGTAATCGATGGATCAGTAGTGCGGATAACTTGGTTAACCTTTCAGCAAATAAGCAATAAGTAATTTGCATACTTAAAATGGCTCAGTTCCAAATTTAACGTAATCATTTCTAACTCACAATTAAATACTTAATATAATTTTATGCGATGTAAAAGAAAGCCTGTTCAGAATATTTTATTGTTCCGCTGTAACTTTAAAATTATAAACTAATCGTTAGATTTTAACCAATAAGCCACCCGCGAAGTAAGAACTGAGAAAATTATAGCATAACAACGTAAATATATATTACGTAAACAAATGTCTCTGCCTGAAATAACATCCAGGGTCATGTATACGTACTTGAGTAGCAGCTGATACAGAGTCTTGTCGAAAACCGGTCGCTCTGGTGCTGCCAGCCAGAACTGCGGGTAGTACGCGAAGCTGAGTGTAGTGCGGCCTTGGTTGAGGCTCGAGTATACGCGGATGTGGTGTGTTTTGTCACAAGCGGACAGAGACCCGTTGAGCTGCTCCATGATGTAGTGCATCATCCCGCGGTTAGTGGAGTCCCCAATGAACAGCAGCTGTTAAGAAATACGCTGATGCCAAATCATAAATTTGCAAGTTACCTATTGTCTGGGCGGAACAATACAGACAGAAAGGCCCTTTTCAAAGTAGTAAATTATTACGGTGTAATTAAAATAAAAATAATATTTTCCTCCTTTCTTCTTCATTTGAAGTAAGAGCCTTAGACGTTGTGCGCGCCCACTTGTAATTAATTTAATTATGCGACTAAACTCAAGTATCCAGAACAGTAAGGCTTACTAAACGACAAGTACCAAATGTAAAGTCTAGATTCAGTGCGTCTGATTCATATTCTGGTGGTCCCAGGTTCGGATCTCGAGCCAGAGGTACAGAAATGTAGGCAACTACATTACATCTATCCTTTTTATTCTTCTTAAAGTGCCTATCCGTTCCGGATGTTGGCGATCAGCATAGCAATTTGAGCTTTACTGGGTTCTACTTGAAACAGCCCTCCAGTGGACATCGAGAACCAAGTTTTTAGGTTCTGAAGCCAGATTCTTAGCCTGCCAGGTCCTCTCCTTCCGAATACTTTTCCCTGGATTATCAGCTGAAGCAGCCGATTTAAGTAACATCTTGTCTTACCTTACGTCAATAATTACAATCATGGCGTCGTCGCGAAACTTTGAGGCAATCTTCACTTAAGAAGTACGTTCTTCAAAATGTTTCATGATAATTTGCAAGAAATAAATAAGAAAAACTTTCCTAGTTTACTTTGTCTGTCCGAAAACGAACAAGTTTTTAGCCCTGTTGAAACGGCGATATGATCGAAACAAACCGCACTTTAAAACTTACCTTTGGTTACCGCCTTTTACTATCAGCGGGGTTGAATTGTCTGATTCTGTCATCAGTTAATCTGTTATGTTAACATCTTACATTGTCATACCGTGCGTTGGTCAATGAGATAGATGGAACTCAGCCAGAGAATCTCATCTCTCACTTGTCCTAGCCAGA